TGCTCCATTATCGACGAAAACCTTTGTGATTGGTTTCCCACAAATGTGAGCATTAACATACAGAGGTTTCAAATGGGAAATCGCACCCTCTGGAATAGGAGGAAACACGATCGAAGGTGCCTCCATTTGAGGCTCGGAATCTGTAGTCTTTGCCCACTCTGTTTCCTCTAATTCGTCATCTGCCAAGAATGCCCATAAAGGTTCATCCAGAGTATCATCTACCAAACTTGCCCACATCGGTTCATCACTCATCTGATTAATCTCTGTCATTCGACAAGGGATTCGTGGTCCCAGACGAGATTTAACAGATCTTGAACTTTCCTCTGTAGTTACTACTTCTTCCTTTGTCATATCCCGAGACTGAACCGTCAAAGATTCAATACGGAATTCTTCAAGAGATGGATTGATGTTGATCCGTTCACAATGTTGGCATCTAAAACCTTTAATTATTTCATCTGCCATTCCTTTACCTTTCCCTTGTCCCGACGAACCTCCTTTGGTATATTCGGAAGCACCTAATCGGTCGTTCGGTTGCTTTCCTGAACAGTCCCGACTGGACCGACTTTTTGGAGATTGCATGACTGCTCCTTGCTCGTTGGTCGGTTGTTCTGTGGAGACTCTAACGGACCGATCTCCTGCCCAGTGGTCGGCTGCTTTTTGTTCGTCGGTTAGTTGTTTTGCTGAAGGAACTCGTTTCCCATACTTTGCAGCATACCTGCGTTTGGCATTGCGAATCTGTGTACGATTCATACCTGGGAAACGAGGATCTATATCAACGGGTAAAGGCTTTTTATTTCGAGCCCAATTGTGCCCGACTTGACCTGTTTTTCTGGTCGGGTGGTCACGTACTACAACCCTTTCTTTCACCTCCACATTAAACGAACCGTCTGGTCGGTCCCATTTTTCAGCGACTGGTCTTTCAACAACTTTGAGTCGTTCTTCCGGTCGGCCACTGTTTGGCTGACTTCCCTTTTTAGTTCCAGGGTTTGCCTGAGTTCGTTCCCCTGTATGTCCATCATTGGCCGAACTTTTCCCTGTTTCCGAACTTGGTTGGATGTCAACCATTGCCGTTGTTACTTTCGGAAATGGTTGCTGGTCTATACCTAGAGTGATGTATTTGAGCCGACCTGTCTTAATGGCTTTTTGAATTTCCTTCCTGAAATGAGTACACTGACTTGTATTGTGTGTGAAAGAATTATGCCACTTACAATATGGTCTCCCTTTGATTTCTTCTTTAGTGGCCAATCTTTGCCCCTTTGGAATACGGATCTGCCCATCAGTCAGTAGGATGTCAAAGATTTCATCAGCTTTCGAACTATCAAAGGTCGGTTGCTCTTTTCCTTCAGATCCTGGAACTGGCTTCAATTTAGGGCATACATAAGGTTTTCCAGAAAGGATTTCGGCTGCCATCTCTTCTGACTGATTAAAATCAAAGTCACATGTTTCTGTTCCCATACTCGCCATATGTTGGCCTCTATTACGCCTGTTATGCTGATCTTCTTCTCTAAACAAAGATTCTAAACGTCCTGCCTTGGATGCAAGACTTGCCAAATCCTCAACATCCAGGGCAGTGAGTGCCTTTCTTAAACGAGTATGCATATTCCGGACCACTAAATTGGTCATCTCTTTCTCACTGATTACCGTAGGACATCGTCCCTTCATCAATCGCACCCTTTCTATAAATTGTGAAGCAGACTCTTCTGGATACTGCCTCAATTCCAGTAAATCTGTTAAAGAAACAGTCGGTAAAGGATTGAAGAATCTAGCATGAAATGCCGTCTCCAGTCCTTCCCACGTCTGAATTTGTCCAGGGGGCAGACTTGCAAACCACGAAAACGCGGTTCTAGTAAGAGATAAACCAAACAGTTGCAACTTATAAAAAGGGTTATTACCAACTTCTCCCAATTGTGCTGTGAACCGACCAACATGTTCTATGGTGGAAGATCCGTCCTCCCCTGAGAATGCATGAAAGTCGGGTGGTCGATAATTCCTTGGGAGAGGGTGTTCATTAATGACTCTTTCTGGGAAAGGTTTCTGATATGCAGGGCGGTTAGCCGTCTGAGGAGTTAATCCATACTGATCCCTTAATATATGTGCAAGCTCATCAGGATCTACATGAAAGCGTTGATGATCAGGAACATGGAACGGATCCTGCACAGGAATATGAACAGGATCATGTATATATCCTTCAGGCCTGTCCTCCCTTGTATTGTTCATCTGGGGATTGGTAACCCTTGGTCCCAGTGGAACAGTATTGGGAAAAGTCAGAGGAGACTTTCCCCTATCCATTCGGTTGGGATTTGTGGCACTTGGAAATGTACTATCCACGAATGATGGCCCTGCGAAATTTGTCTGTAGTCTGGACGGTGATATTCCTGGTGGAGTTTGAGTGGGTTGAAGACTAACCCTTGACAATGCTTGATCTATCATGTTCTGCATCAGACTCTGTTGCTCACGCAACATGTTCGTTTGTTGCTCACGCAACATGTTCTGCATAACCAAAGTGTGCTGGTTGTTCATTTGTTGAACATAAGACCACCAATCAGTTGGTGGTTGTGGGATTTCCCCGGCATTTGGCACAATAGGTGGTGGAACGGATTCTCCCACCGGTGCCGAATATGTTTGAGGTTGTGAACCTGCCATATGGACCCTTCCGATGATACGGCCGGATCTTAGACGTATGAAATTATCGCCGGAATTGGAATGAGCAATTTTGTCTTGCTCCCCAGTGGAGTCGCCAATTTGTTGATGTAATTTTTCAACAAAAATAAAGTAAAATTCAAAGATATAGAAAATATCCTTAAACTTGATTAATTAGTGCCTGAGATTAGGAATCTCTAAACACTGTATGGTACAGAAAATAAACTGGAAAATAAAAGACTGAAATTTAAAGTGGTGATCCCCAAATCTGACTTTGCTTTGTTGAAGTTGATTGAAGATGCCTTGCCAAATGATGATCCAAATCCTTAAATATTCTTTGAAGAAAACGTTCAGAACCGTCGCACTGTTTCACCAACCGTTCCCACCAGTTACAGAACTCAGAACTGCCTCTTTCATTGACACATGTCTTTAACCGCCTCGCCAACCGCATAACCCAACGACCGACCAACCGACCAATCTAGATACATAATTGGTCGCCAGATCAAAAGACTCACTGGTCGCCCCATCAAACAACCACTATTTGGTCTCTTCAATCGTCTGACCTATCAACAGACCTTTCTTCGCCCGACTTCCTTTTTCGACCGACCCCCATAGCAGCCAACCTTTGTATCAACCGACCCATTTATCCGACTGCGGATAATCCGACCTGCTTGCCCGACCGCGGACCATCTGACTTGCTTATCTGATTGAGAACCAACCGACTGAGAACCCACCGACTGACTCTGGATACCTTATTATTATTATTATTATTATTATTATTATTATTATTATTATTATTATTATTATTATTATTATTATTTTTTGTGCGTAACAACATGCCTCCTCCTCAAGACTCCTAAGCATCATTTCTTATGATGTTTTAGGAGTTAGTAGGTTAGCATCCGAGGCTACGTCAGCCTCAGATCCGACCTCCATCCTTTGAGGCTACGTTGGACCCGACCTCCATTTATCGCGGACTGGTGCTGGCCTGGACGTTGGTCGATCTTGCACTACCATTGTATTCAGACTCCCGTCCGACTTATTCCTCCTTTCGGCCACTGTTGTTCTGTCATTCTTTTGCTCGCCTGAAAAGTTATGGTCGGCGACCTGACCCGTGTCCGTCCATTCGGCGGGGTCCTCCTGACCTGTATCCGTCCATTCGGCGGGGTCCTCCTGACCTGTATCCGTCCAGGTTACGTAGTCCTCCCGATTTTTGTCCGTCCAGTCGACGTGGTCTTCCCGATCTGTATTCGTCCAGTCGGCGTGGTCCTCCCGACCTTTGTCCATCCAGTCGGTGTGGTTGTCCCGACTACGGTCCGTCCATTCGGTGTGGTCCTCCCGACCATGGTCCGTCCAGTCGGTGTGGTCTTCCCGACCATGGTCCGTCCAGGCGTCGTGATCCTGCCGACCTGTCTCCGTCCATTCGGTCGTCCCTGGTCGGGCCTGTCCTCCTGTTTGGTCCTGTCTCCAGTCTGTCTGACTGGGTATATGCTCAGGAATGGCGTTGTCCGTTTGGGGGCATGACATTTCTGGCGGTGCAGGAACCGAATTCAACATGAATTTTGATTGCTCCATCAAGTTTTGCATTGCGTCATGTATTGCCTGCAGATTTGCTATCTGCTGGTCGTACATTTGCCGAAAACCTGCTGTAAAACCTGCTGTCAATTCGGCCCGTAGTTGGGAAGCTTCTTCTGCCGTGATAAAGCCAACGGCTGTACTGTGGGATTGAAAATTTGCCATATGGATCAGCAATTTTCTCCCACTGTGGTCGCCAATTTGTTGATGTAATTTTTCAACAAAAATAAAGTAAAATTCAAAGATATAGAAAATATCCTTAAACTTGATTAATTAGTGCCTGAGATTAGGAATCTCTAAACACTGTATGGTACAGAAAATAAACTGGAAAATAAAAGACTGAAATTTAAAGTGGTGATCCCCAAATCTGACTTTGCTTTGTTGAAGTTGATTGAAGATACCTTGCCAAATGATGATTCAAACCTTTAAATATTCTCTGGGAAACCGTACCGAAAACCGTCCTCCGAACGGTTACAACGTCTCATTCCCAACCGTCTTCCAACCCCTCTCCTGCTGACACGCGTCCTCAGCAGACCAAAATTATCCCTATATTTCACTCTTTAAGCCGACCACAGACCTTCCGCCCTTTAGGCCCGACTGCCAATCTACAATAGTATGGGTCCGACCGCCAATCCTCCCGACTTGCGAACCATCTGGCCTGAGGTCTTTCCGCCTTGAGGACTTCCCGACCTGAAAACCTTCCGACTTGAGGTCTTTCCGCCTTGAGGACTTCCCGACCTGAAAACCTTCCGACTTGAGGTCTTTCCGTCTTAAGGACTTCCCGACCTGAAAACCTTCCGACTTGAGGTCTTTCCGCCTTGAGGACTTCCCGACCTGAAAACCTTCCGACTTGAGGTCTTTCCGTCTTGAGGACTTCCCGACCTGAAAACCTTCCGACTTGAGGTCTTTCCGCCTTGAGGTCTTCCCGACCTGAAAACCTTCCGACTTGAGGTCTTTCCGCCTTGAGGTCTTCCCGACCTGAAAACCTTCCGACTTGAGGTCTTTCCGCCTTGAGGTCTTCCCGACCTGAAAACCTTCCGACTTGAGGTCTTTCCGCCTTGAGGTCTTCCCGACCTGAAGTCCTTCCGTCCTAATGACTTTCCGTCTTGAGGACCTACCGACCTGAAGACCTTCCGACCTGAGGTCCTTCCGTCTTGATGACTTTCCGTCTTGAGGACCTACCAACCTGAAGACCTTCCGACCTGAGGTCCTTCCGTCTCGAGGACCTACCGACCTGAGGTCCTTCCGTCCTAATGACTTTCCGTCTTGAGGACCTACCGACCTGAAGACCTTCCGACCTGAGGACTTTCCTTAGTAATAAACCTATTTTCCTTGATTTCCTCATGGTACCCTTCAGTCAGTTCAATCAACTCTATTGCCAGGCCCATTCTTCTTTTTACCTTGGGCTTTTAACCTAATTCTAAATTTCGTACGTAACAATTTCATTAGTCAGTAAATGTCATAATCTATAACAAGCAAAACACATGTTGATATTTTCCAAATTAATCCTTCAAACTGGCTAAGACTAAATAGGCTCAAACAAGTGTAGCAACCTAATAGCAGATGGTCAATTACTTAGAAGATATAATTGGGGATATATTTTAACCTAATTGTGCAAACTAATTTAACAATCATTACCTTATTTCATCTATGCTCTAAAAACTAATTTAACAATCACTACCTTATCAGCCACCAGATCCAAAAATGCACCAAACTGAGTAAGCAACTTCATATGGAAAAGGAAGTTTATAATGTAACATTGACATTATGTTAACAGTAATTTTTATTTTTAAAAAAAAAAAAAATTAGACAAGAAAAAAGAAAAATTAATATACTTAAAAGCTCCCGAGAGCAAGCTATTCATCAGGCCAAATTTTTGCAGCAGCAGATCCCCACCAGCTCTCAAGATAAAATGCTGGTCACAATATATTAACGTCAATTTCATCATTCTAAAGGCTCCAATCTTAGAAACATCCAATAGAACATACAAGTTAAGTGTGATGAAAGCATTGAAAGAAATAGAAGGATCACAAACACTAACAAGTTTCTTTTAAGAAAGCACTGGAAAAAAGGGAGACATTGGAGCACTGGCGATGGAGACCACCCAGATATTGCATAAATAAATAAATAAATAATCCCATCTCAACCTCAATCTCAACCTCTATTTTGAATATATCCACAGACGATTAATTATAACTCTTCCTTATCATCTAATTAATATTTATATGCATATATATACACATTCAAACTCATCAGCATCCATCCATCAATCACCAAGCTCATCGAATATAACCTACAAATTACTTCATTGATCTCCAATACTTTAAATAATTGAAATGTTGTGATGTTTGTCTCCTTAATTGGATACCTGTCACTCTTCTTTTTTTGGTCATCTTTAATTTAAGCTACAACACCCAAAATGTGATATCTATATTATTTACAACAACACCCTAAACATGCACTAAGTCACCATATGCATTCTCACTTTTGGGATTGAATTAAAACAGACCTTTTGTAATAAATACCTTATAAAAGGGCAATCACACCATAACTTAACCTATTGAAAACATACTAGCATCTCTCATTCCAATTTGAAAATATATTGAGGTAACTACAACAAAACATTTTCAAATCTAAATCATTTAATTCCCATGTCGGTATGGGAATAAGCCTAAGACATCAGCCGCTATGTATATCCCAAATTCATTTTAATGAAAAGGTATTTTGAAGATGCACTAGATAAAAATGTTTGACGCAACCGTGATTTTGCCATAACTTTGGATATCAATGATTTTCAATATTTTTTCTATTTTCTCGCAACAAGTAAACCACCTAAAATGAAGACATAAACAAGAAGCAACAAAAACCCACTCCTATTCACTATAATACCAGTAAAACATTGATATTTATATAAATATATAATAATATTTATAGAGCTGGGTTTATCACATCCTTAATTCTCCTCATCTACTACTACTTAAACAACCAACAACATGATCGATTAAGAAGAACTTGAAAAACTATAAACCCACTTACATAATAGCCTTTACAATCATAGAAATGAACCCGTAAGCCAATCTTCTTTCAAACCGGATTTCCTAGCAATAAACGAGTAACGAATTAGTTTTGTTTGACCAAAAAACTACTAAATCACCGAAGCCCTATTGTCTCGATACAAGAATCATTTTCTTACACAAACCCGAAGATCGAATGGGGCTTTGAGAACCAGAACAAACGCACAGATTCAGAACATACGACAGATTCAGATAGGGGAAATCATCAAAATTCTTACCTAAAGGCCGGCGCTGTAGTAGCTTGTCATTGATAGAAGTATGAGGTGATGTTGGCCCTCTCGCACGGCGGAAGAAGGGCACGAGATGAAAAAGGGAGAAAATTTATTTGCCCTAAAATTTTGTAGTGTTGAAAGTGATCCATCGCAATGGTGCCTAAGGATATAAAAACCGCTCCCAACCCATTATGTTGAAAGCGTAAAAACGCATTCTACATTTTTTTTTTGTTATTTAAGAGGAAAAAAATATATTTAATTGAAAAATATTACAAAAATTAATTGTAAGTAATGCATTTTTTTGGTAATATTACAATATTTGTAATTGTTACGGAAAATTTTGTGTGACAATTGAACCTCAGGCTTTGACCAAAAAAATCTTTTTGTTACGGATAAGATCGTAACAAAAATAGTCATTTGTATCGATGTTATTGTTACGCCCCCTCGTACCGTAATGATAGCCCATTTTTTTGATAGTGTTATATTATCTTAAAATATTATTTAACAAATACGAAAAGCACTATAATAAAAACTATAGAGCACATAGTATAAATCTCAAAAGGTACAATATAATAAAAAGAAAAGGCAGTCAAGAAACAAAAACACTAACTCTATTCCCTTAAAGAACTTTTTAACATACAAGAAAAGGACTGTAATTATAACTTTAGAGCATAAAGTATAATCTCATAAAGTGCAATATAATCAAAAGGAAAAATATGAAGAAATAAAAGTGTTATTTCTATTACCTTAAAAAGCTATGTAACAAGTATGAAAAACATTGTAATAAGAACTATAGAGAGAGCTTAACCCCATAAAGTACAATATAATAAAAAGGAAAGGCAGTCATGAAACAAAAGCACTAACTATATTCCCTTAATGCACTTATTAACATACTAAAAAAAGCATTGTAATTATAACTTTAGAGCAAAAACTATAATCTCATAAAGTGAAATGTAAATAAAAGGAAAAACAGTGAAGGAACAAAAATGCTATTTATATTATCTTAAAACACGAGATAATAAATACGAATAGCACTGTAATAAGAACTATAGACCACAGAGTAACAATCCCAAAGAGTACAATATAATAAAAAGAAAAGGCAGTCAAGAAACAAAAACACTAACTCTATTACTTTAAAGTAGTTTTTAACATACACGAAAAGCACCGTAATTTTAATTCTAGAGCACAAAGTACAATCTCATATTGTGCAATATAATTAAAAGCAAAAGCAGTTAAGAAAAAAATATGCAATTTATATTACCTCAAAACACTATGTAACAAATACACAAAGCACTGTAATAAGAACTATAGAGCACGGAGTATAAATCCTATAAAGTACAATATAATAAAAAGAAAAGACAGTCAAGAAACAAAAGCACTAACTATATTCCCTTAATGCCCTTTTTTAACATACACAAAAAGTATTGTAATTATAACTTTAGAGCACAAAGTATAATCTCATAAGAAGAAATGTATTGAAAAGGAAAAAACAGTGAAGAAACAAAAGCGCTATTTATATTATCTTAAAACACTATGTAACAAATACGAAAAGCACTGTAATAAGAACTATAGAACATAGAGTAAATATCCCGAAAAGTACAATATCATAAAAAGAAAAGGTAGTCAATAAACAAAAGCATTAACTGTATTCCCTTAAAGCACTATTTAACATACACGAAAAGCACTGTAATTATAACTCTAGAGCAAAAAGTATAATCTCATAAAGGTCTATATAATTAAAATGAAAAATAGTTAAGAAACAAAAATGCTATTTATATTACCTTAAAACTCTATGTAACAAATACGAAAAGCACTTTAATAAGAACTTTAGAGCACAGAGTATAAATCTCGAAAAGTACAATATAATAAAAAGAAAAGGTAGTCAATATACAAAAGCACTAGCTGTATTTGCTTAAAGCACTTTTTAACATACACAAAAAGCACTGTAATTATAACTATAGAGCACAAAGTATAATCCCATAAAGTGCAATATAATAAAAAGTAAAAAAAGTAAAGAAACAAAAGCGCTAATTGTATTCCTTTAAAGCACTATTTAACATACACGAAAAGCATTGTAATAAGAACTATATAGGACAGAGTATAGGGTTTAGGGTATAAAGCGCAAAAAGTACAATATAATAAAAGGAAAAGGCAGTGGAGAAACAAACGCACTAACTGTATTCCCTTAATGCACTTTTTAACTTACACAAAAAACACTGTAATTATAACTTTAGAGCATAAAGTATAATCGCGTAAACTGAAATGTAATTTAAAGGAAAAACAGTTGAAACAAAAGCGCTATTTATATTATCTTAAAACACTATGTAACAAATACGAAAAGTACTATAATAAGAACTATAGAGCACAAAGTAAAAATCCCAAAAAGTACAATATAATAAAAAGAAAAGGCAGTCAATAAACGAAAACACTAACTGTATTCCCTTAAAGCACCATTTAACATACACGAAAAGCACTGTATATACAACTTTAGAGCATAAAGTATAATATCATAAACGTCTATATAATTTAAAGGAAAAACAGTTAAGAAACAAAAATGCTATTTATATTACGTTAAAACACTATGTAACAAATATGAAAAGCACGTTAATAAGAACTATAGAGCACAGAGTATAAATCCCAGAAAGTACAATATAATAAAAAGAAAAGGCAGTCAAGAAACAAAAGCACTAGTTGTATTCCCTTAATGCACTTTTTAACATACAAAAAATACTGTAATTATAAGTTCACACTACAAAGTATAATCTCATAAAGTGCAATATAATTAAAAGAAACAACAGTCAAGAAACAAAAGCCCTATTTATATTATCTTAAAAGACTATGTAACAAATACGCAAAACACTGTTATAAGAACATAAGAGCACATAGTAAAAATCCCAAAAGTACAATATAATAAAAAGAAAAGGTTGTCAAGAAACAAAAGCACTAATTGTATTACCTTAAAGCATTATTTAACATACTCGAAAAGCACTGTAATTATAACTCTAGAGCACAAAGTATAATCTCATAAAGTGCAATATAATGAAAACGAAAAACAGTGAAGAACTAAAAGCACAAACTTTATTCCTTTAATGCACTTTTTAACATACACGAAGGGCATTGTAATTCTAACTTTAGAGC